ACACGCCTCCGCGCATACATTACTCAACAGTATTACAGCTATACTCAAGAATTGTGTGTTTTATTAATAACACGACTATTAATACAGTTATTCACTTCATTACAGACTATGAAATACATTGAATGCATTCAATACAGACAAACCCTTTAATGCTATGCATGTATGCAAGCAAACCACAATCCCATAGAAAATGTGCTCAAATCTAATTTGCATCAATTGTTATTCAGTCGTAAGATTGACAATAAGTATACGAGTAATGATGTGTGTATGAAGGGAATGGTATGTGAATTGTTGTGTAAGTGTGGCTCACTTTAGCTGTACTACCGGTTCAGTGGTAGTGAGTGAGTGAGTCAGTGGTGTCACTCACTGTCAATGCTCTCTAAGTAATGGGAAGTTTATATGAAATGGAAAGTCTGTTTGAAAGGCATTGCGATTATATTCTAATAATAAGTTTGCCGACAATTGAACTCTAATTGAAAGCACTGAACGCCTCACTGTTCAGACCCTATACCTCATACCCCATACCTCATACCCATACACTTTGAACACTACTGTACTTTTAATTCCTACTCTCATTTCAATACAATTGTAACTTTCAAACTTACAATTGTTAATATGATTTGAAGAGTTATGCAAACAGTTGTTATGCAATGTATGAGTATTTTGAAGGCATTTGTGAATACAGGAAATTGAAGTGAATATCAGTAATGATATGATTATATAATGAAATTTAAGGCCAATCTCATTGAGTCTCATTGAGATAGGGATATATATATTGGTTGTTGTTTCCAATGAGAAACTGTTCAATACTTTCATTGGTATCACTCTTGACCTCAACCACAAATCATATCATATACAGTCTCTAATATAAATTATCAATTATTTATTCACATCTTATTTATATATCTTATCCCAAACTTGTAAATCATATAAAAATATTATAAATGAATAGCAATTGATGGCCTAATTATTTGACTTATGGTTGATGTTTTCACATATAAGCATCGCTTTGGTATTAATGGTATCATAATAACATTCTGCGAGATAAACATTGTATGCATTCATAAAAGACCTAGTTTATTACCGAATATGCTTCACAATATAGTTATACAAGTATTATACAGTATTAGCTTATATTCACTCCAAACTTCAAACTCCAATTCATATCACTTTATATTTATTGCTATTTGTAAAACATATTTACAAAAAACAAATGTAATGTTTGCAGACAGTTTAATGTTGAATACATTTAAAATAAATGATTATAATAATATTTTTAAAGTAGCATTTAAAAGGTTTGAATAAAATTTGATGTCATAATTGAACGGATATATTGAGGAAACAGTAGTTATAGTGAGCCCATACAGTATATAAATTGAGATAATAATATAATATTTTGACAATAATTAACATTAGGTTTGTATTGTATTGTATAGTAGCGTACTTGTGATGGTAGTATTGCATTTCAATAGACTAGTCACTAGTACTATATTATACAATACTAGGGTATAGTGGAGTGAAATGTTTTGTTGATTACATGAAAGCTATTTAGACTCTCAGGTAGTGTTTGAGGACAAAGACCTTTGAATGGAGAGAGAGTTTAATAAACTTGAAGTGAAACCCAGTTTCGAGTTTAGCCTAACTGTTGGTTTGAGTTTGAATTCAATGCTATTTTCACTCTCGTGTCCCAAATTCACTTCATGTCTAAACTACTCTATTGTTCTTACATTTGGTTTGTCTTTATTTCCATTATATTAGATTTCCTACAGTTTTATGAAAATCCATATCCAATTTTATACTTAATTCCATATAAAAGTTGTTTTTTATTTACTAATCAATCGCTAGACTCAAATGTTGACAGAAATATTCATTTCATTTACTCTTCCTATAAATTAGTATATTTGACACGTTTTGCTAAATAATCAAAATACAAATCCTGTTTACATCCAATGCTATTAACAAATTTTCAAATCATTTTTCACATTACAAACACTTAACGTTTTTTGAACTTACATTTCTATAAAACTTTCAATTTTTAAAATAAACAATTGATTATAAAATCTATTTTTACGATACATGTAATGATTTTTGACTCACAATTGCTCTCATTCTTCAATGCAAACACTGTTTCCTTTTTATTGTAATTTGTTTTCCAATTTATTGAATGCTTTCCAAAGTTAGGCCCAAAACACCACGTCCTCCGCAACTCAGTCATCAAACTTGAATAGAGTATAGCCTTGTATTAGTGGGTAATCCATGTCTAATAACGTTTGGGTAACTGACCCTTAAGTGTAGTGAACATACCCTATATTCACTGTAAGATTGTTGTGTTTAAAGATTAAATACCTATCAATAAGTTATCAGGCATATAATAGCAATTCAGTTAATCCAATATTTAAGACAAATCACTCTTATTGTTAAGCCCAGATTAATGCCAAGTTAAAGTAATTGTATTACGATATGCATTTCAATGTAATGATTGCAGTATTTGATGTAATCTTAAAAATTTGTTATTTTTAAAACATTTAATTTTGTAATTTTTATAAAAATAATGGTGCTGATAATAAAAATATTGATTACCAATATTTAATTTTTAATACACTTTTAATTTAATTTATGTGAAATTAGAATATTACTGTAAGTTATTTGAACAATATTAATTTATTAGGTTATAGAATTATCCGGAAATATAAAATCATCAAGGTAAAGTTATATAGATACACGAAAATTCATTGATAAAACAAATCATTCAATAAGGAAGTATGACTTTGATAATTGAATGAATCTCTATTTTAATGAACTGATGCTATGTAACAAATATTTAACTATAAATAATAGAAATATTTAACTCTTAATAATACTTAAAAATTTTAATTTGTTTCAAAAATAAACGTGCCAATCAATGAAATGCATAATTTAATTTAAATATCGTTTTGTTTTAGCAATTAACAAAGAGTTTAGTTTTACTATAATTATTAATAGAGAATTATAGAAATTAAATTGTAAAAAATATAATAGAGAATTTGTAAAAGAATTTAAAAGTTTTGTACCAACTCTTAAAAGTAATATTGTATCAAGTAAAATTTTAAGCAATTACATACTTGGGATGCAATGTTTGTGAGATTTTGGATTAAAGCTTCCTGATATTATTATATTATTTGCAATGTATAACCTAGGTTTA